GTCACCTCATGGTGTGATCCGGGTCTGAACCAAACACGCTTACACAACAAGGGTGATATTCTTATGTAGGCTGAAATACTCCAATGTGTTACACCAGAAAAAACAAAAATTAAAAATCCTAATGCCACACCATGATGAGAATCCACGTGGAGTGTGAAAGAGGGAGAGAGTTGGTGTGAACAAGAGCCACCAGCTCCCAGCGAGCTGGGGCCACAAACCCCAGTGCCCCCTCTTCATTGGGGTTCAGAGGAGAGCACACAGGGCAGCAGTGGGCAGACTGGCCGGTGATTTAAGGTGCTTCCCCACCCGGCACGCACAGCGGGAGGGCAGCTGCGGGAGACACGCACTAGTGTTTGGGAAGGACCCGTCCTTGTGGAAAACGTGGGCGTGCGATGGGCCCCATATGGATTCCAATGAGGCTCTACAGCAACAGTGCAGGGTCCACGCCCGTTGGTGCCTCCAAGAAATGGAAGTAATAAAACTGAGTCTCTGGGCTGTTGTGACGATTATAAATCCAGCTCCCAGTGGGTATGCTAGAGAGACCCAACTACTGCTTAGTTCGACATCCCCTCCGTTAATTTGGGGTTACAGAGTTAATTTTAATAACTCTGTGGAGACGTGCAGGTGAGCACAGTGTCATTCGACAGAGCCCAGTGGGCTCCCCTTTCACCCGAAGAACGTGGGGGCTGAGGACCGCCTAGGTAATTTACGCCTCTAACCCTTCCACATGCGCCAGAGATGGCTTGGACTCCAGTGAATAAAATAATCTGGAAATCACTGAAAACAATACCTCCTGACTGCCAGTTTTACGGACCTTCTGCATTACCCAAAGAGATAAATTAAGAATGACTTTGGGAAAATTATATTTCCTCTTGATCTCGTCTTCACTGAAGCCCTTGCTTTGATTTATTTGACATGGCTGCCTTTTAATATTCTCCCATTATTCTTCCCCTGCGTTTTCCAAAATGTAATTGCTACTTGAAAAAGTTAATTCCGTTTCTAGTGTCACGAGTGAACAATTTAGAACTGGATTGTTGGTTTAGGACTGAAATAAAGCTTCTGCAAACACCAAAATCAGAGTTGAACTTGCATTCTTAAGAAAAGAATTGCATTTGTGCCCGAAAACAGGACCGAGTTCCGCCGAGGAATGAGACGAGAGTTTGCTTACGAAGTTGACCGAGGAAGGAAAAGAAAAAACAAAACCCAAATCCACAACTGAGTCTTTTTTTCTGACAAGAAACTGGCAAATCACAGTCCAAATGCAGGGCAGAGGGGATAGGAAGGGGGGAAAAAAAACCTTGAAAAAGCTCAGCTCCCAGTCCCCTCCCCCACCGGCCCCTGCGAAGGGCAGCTTCCCTCCCTTTCCTAACGAAGTCTGTCACTGTAAAATCCTACAGTCATTCTTCCACACATAAAGGACAAATAAGCCCAAGGGGCGGACCTCCATGCTTTCAGTTTTAACTCCTCGCCAATGCGCGGAGCGGGCAGAAGGCCCGAGCTGGGTGCCCGGCCAATGGGCGGGCTGCGTGCGCCCCACGTGACCCGCGGCCCCTGCCTTTCACAGGCGCTGCGCTGGAGTTCAATTCAGAACTGCGGCCAGTGCAGCCGGAGCGGGACGTCGGAGCGCCCGCGCTGCGTCCCGGGGACCCGACCGGGCCGAGCACCCCCCCACCCTTCCCCCCGCCGGGCGCGGGGCTCTGCACCTGTGGCGGGCGCAGTCTGGCTCCAGCCCCCGCGCTGCCCCGGGGACCAGGAGCCAGCGCCGAGGGCCATCTGCAGACGGTGAGTGCGCCTCCCTCCCCCTCCAGCGCCCCGGCTCCGAGAGTTTGAGGTCATCCGCCCCGAACGCTGGGCGATTTCGAAGGCTCCCCTTTCCTGCGCGGGGTCGGAAGGGTATCCCAGCGGCAGGGAGATCCCCGGGGCACAATTGTTGCTTGGGGCGGGGAGGGACGAAGAATGGAAGAGAAAGGCGGGCCCTGCACGGCGCGGCCGCGGGCGCCTCGGTCCCGGAACGGAGCCCCCGCGTGGTGCTTTGTTCCCAGGATCGACGAAGGCGCACACGCGTGCCCGCCCTCCGCGCCCCGCCCTCCGCGCCCGCCGTCCCAGCAGGTCCGCCCTGGCCCCCGGGGAAATAAAAGACAAACTTTGCTAACGCCACCGACCAGAGCCCCCTCGAGCCCCCCACCCATCCGACGGGCATTATGATTAGCGACGAAAGACGGCCGAGGCACTTGGGGCAAAGAGCGCTTCCATTCTGAACAATGGCTTCAGGCCAGGGCTTCCTTCGAATTTATTTTTTAGCCACCCCTTGGCACTTCGTATTAACGATGGAGGCCGAACTGTTTTCAGTGTTTTTTGCCCACAAAATGGACAGTCAGGTCCTGGCAGAAGCGAAGGGCAGGTCCCAGACGGCCAGTGTGGAGACCGGAGGGAGGAGGGAGGAGGGAGGAGGCGGCTTCCGTCCCACGACCCAGCCTTCCCTGTAGAAAGGTTTTTTTTGAAATTCCTAATGGGGCGGAGTGAGGGTGTGGGGGTGGGGAGGAAGCATGCGGAAGCTCCTTTATGGAAGAATGCTGGAAGGATAAAATAATTTGGGGTCTCTTCCCACAGCAGGCAGAAGGTAGCCTCCAAGTTACGTTCACGGTAAGATTTTTTTTTTTTTGGTGGAGTTTCAAACAGAAGCAACCTACCAAGCAGGTTTTTTTTTTTTTTTAATTTATAAAATAATTTGGAAACAAATGGGGTGGGGGGAATGCTGGCCACGGCTTCTCTTTTACGTGCAGCGAGCGTAATCCGGCCATGTTTGCGCCTTTACTTCTGGAATCAGCCAAAGCCTTCGAAAGTTACGAGCTAAGTCTGGTAAGAAATTAAAAAGGCAGCCCAAACGGACGCGGTTGTGGGTGATGAAGGTTTCGAACAACAAAGCTCCGAGAGAAAGAGAGTTGGTGAGGAGCTGTTGCCCTCCTCGTTTTTAAAAGAAGGATATTAACTCCATCAATTATTGAAAGGAATTATTCGCAGGCTCCAGACATAACTAATTATGGCTTCGAGAGCTCTGCCAGAGCAGAGCCTGCGTGCTCTAATTATAAAAGTCCAAGACGTTAGGATTCTTTTTTTTTTTTTCTTTTTTCTTAAAGAGGACCCGGACACACATTTTCACATAATCTGTGAAATACACCATTTTTTTTCCTTTGTCTGCTCTCACATTATCCCCACCCCAGCCACCAGCACCAACACCCCCCCCCCCCCCCCCCCCGCATGTGAGGACACCTGAAGGCGAGACACGTAATGACCCGCAGAGCTCCAGCCGCCCTGGCCTCCAGCCAGATCCCCCGCCCTGCAGCCAGCAGCCTGCACGCAGTGCCTGCTCAACCCTCGCCCCAGCTCCCCGCTCCCAGCTCCCCGCTCCCCGCTCCCCGCTCCCCGCTTGCTCGGTGCAGAGGGGCTGGGAATCCGGCCGCGGCTGCGGGAAGATTAAAGACAATATCCCCTTTCTCTTACCCCAGAGAGCCTGGGCGCTTAACCCTTTCATGGCCTCGAAAAGCAAGGCTCCTTCCCCCCTCCAGGGCAGCTCTCAGGGACCCTGCACGCGCGCGAGGCTCAGGCACAGACCCACCCCAGTCACCTCGGGCTCTGCCGTGTGCCCCCCAACCGGAGCCTGCTCTGCTCGTGCGGGGAGGCGCGTTCTTGATGAACTTGAGCTGTCTGAAATCTGGAACAAGCCAAAGATCCGGGGAAAGATTTTTGCAAACCTTGCAGAAGGTTGTGCTATTTCTGACGGTGCTGTTTTTTAAGCAACGCCCCCCCCCCCCCCCCCGTGTGTGTCTCTCTCTCTCTCTCTCACACACACACACACTCACACTCACACTCACACTCTCAAGAGACACACTCAGCCAGGCAACCCTATCATGGTATGGCAGAGAAACCAGGTTTGCGGGTGATGTCACCAGAACACTTCGCCTTTGTGGGCGCCGCTCGCAACCCCCTTCTCGCCCCCCCCCCCCTTCTCGCCAGGGTCCGTTGAGTGTGCGCGCAAAGGAACCTCCTGCGGCTGCGGGGCCGCCCGACCCCCACAGGAAGGGACTGTTTTGTTTGCAGCGCGCTCTTTCCTGAAGATGCGTTTGTGGGGCAGTGTGGGCATGTTTTTCAAGATTGTACCTCGCCAGGCAGAGTTTGCTGGTTCTAGGAAGCCTCATTAACATGCAGGCGGAAGACGGGAGAGGTGGCTGAATTTCAATGGCATGCCTAGGGTGCAGGAATGGTGAGCCTCTTTGAAATCACTTGGAGGAAAATGCCACAGTACGGACCATGGGTGTGAGGACCTAGTGATTCTTACTTGCCATTGAAATTTTTGCAACCGTGAAAGCTTTTTGACCGTTTCTGCTTAAGGAGGGGTTATACACAAATGATTTAAAAGTAATGCTGGTTTCATGTACTCTTGTTCCCATGGTCGTTGGGCTAAAACGGTATGGCTGGGACAGCGTTTGGATTTATTTTCTGTTTTATGGGTCTTACACTAAACAGTTCTCTACAAAACAAGTGTTCACATTTTAAGAATATGTAGATTTAAGTACATTATTTTACTTAAATAGAAAAAGTTTACTAATTTTACCAAAACATTACTATATTTGAGGTGTAAATATAAAAAACTATGTACGCAGTGTCTCTTAATTACCAAGTCTTAATGCATAAATAAGTTAATCTTTGTTCATAAAGGATTGCTGGGTATACTTACCAGTTCTCACATACCAAGTACCTGATACATTATTTTCTTCATACTATGATTTGCCCCGAAAACTTCTTTCTCGAATACTTAAAAGAGGATTAATTTTGAAAGGATTACGAGGCAAGCGTATAGGGACAGCACAGTTTTTTACGGCACGCCATAATGAGATTAATTTTGCCGATGGATTGTGTGATTGTTTTCAAACAAGCGAAGAGTGTTTTGTTGTTTTTTTTTTTTTTTTTTTTTTTGCTGTTGTGTTCTATTGTTGAGAAAAGTATAGAGAGCTTAAAGAACCGACACATTTTGTCCTGGGGGGGGGGGGAAACAAGCCACACGAGTTAGGTTACATTCTAAGGGGGTAAGACAGCCATGTGGAGGAACAAATAACTTTGAGAAATTCTGGGGCCTGGCGCAATGTGCTCATAAACAGTTTTCTCCTCGTCCAGTGGGGCTCTTGCCTGGGGATGAATTATGCAATTGTTTCATCAGAGATCAAAAACGAAGGAAGAGTTAGACTTCAATTTCACCTACTTTCTGAAAACAAACTGTCCACAGGGAACACTCCTTACTGAAAAGGCATCTACTAAAAAGGCATGTTTCAAAGAAAACAAGATCACGGACTGATTGAAACAGTTGAACTACGTAACGCCCATTCGGAACAAATGGTTTTTCAGATCCCGATGAGGAAGAACAATTTGCTACAGTGCAGTCCATTCTGCCCACACAATAGTAACAATTTATTGGAAAGGGCTGAACAAAGTAAATACACAAAAAACAGCCAGTGATGTGTTCCGCCAGGGACCTATCAGGATTCTCGTGTTCCATGTGTTAGAATACTCTTAATCCAAGTATTTATTTATCGGAAGACTTCAGTTAAAACGACACTCTTGCTCACCCCACGTGAGTAGTCACGTACCCTTCTATTTGCATGTAAGCGTGTGCAGTATGTACAATATGTCTATTTGAATATAGCCATATGGACAAAATAAGCGTTGGTATTGTCTTATGACCAGAGTTTTTTTCAATGCTCTGGAGTTAGGATATTAGCATGTTTTAATACAGTGAAATTTGGGAGCGGCCATCAGCCAGCTGTGTGTCTGCCAGTGGTGGGCCTTGTTCTGATACCGGCCAGGTTAGTGTAGGGAGGATGTAATTACTGCAAGTGCTTCGAATCAGAAAAAAATCGAATCCTATCAAAAGACACGGCTCTAATTTAGCATAGAGTGTAAAATGTTCTTTTCACTAATATCTCTTTTTCTTACCAGGATGAAGCTGATTTCTAAAAGCGCATTCACACACATTTTCCCTTTGTGGAAAGAGAGATTAGGGTTCCCCAAAACTTAGCCCGAGGGCACAGGGCCTGAAATTGTTTTGAGTGCAGTAGGCCCCTCCACACAAAGCAGGCGGGGGGCCGGGGGGCCGGGGGCGGCTCCAGCCTCAGTGAGCAAAGGCTCGGAGCTGGTTTGGCTGCTTCCTGCCTCAAATGGTCGTCTCCCAAATCACTCACGTCTGTGAAAACTATCAGGTTGTTCTCACAGTTTTCCAAAGACCCCTGGCCCTGGTGGTACCATGAAGGCAGTGTGTTTGTGCAGTGATGGGACATTCAGCCGGGTTCCAGGGGGCTCCTGTATCCCGGACCGGGCCTGGAGGTTCAGAAAGAAACATTGAGGGTATTTCACCGTCGAGGGATTTGGGGTTGATTTGGGGCCCATCTTTTTCCACAGCCAGCCCCCAGTTCAGCTGAAACAACTTCTCTGTACAGCTCGGACCAGGTGGCCACGTGTGCCTGTCCCATCTTTTCTCATTTAGATGAGATGCTTCCTTTCAATACCATCTTTCTTCTTGACCTGCTTAAAAATTCCAGCGAATGAAATCAGCCCAGGGTTTTCAATGCTAATTGGCCATGTGCGGGGGGCGGGGGGGGGGCGGGGGGTGAGCTCAGTGGCAGCATTGTGAGGCTGGCTGCTGCCGGGGTGACCCTGCCCGCTTCCCCCGCCCGCCGGCCTAAGCCTGTAGACCGCGCTTCCTTTGTATTAATATTAATAGAGCCCCGTGCAAACTGTTTGAGTTGGCTGTTTCTGCTGGGTATGACCACAAGTAATAAAAAAAACAAAGTCATACGCTTCCACAGCCTCCCGACTAGATAGTAAGCAACTCATTGGTTCCAAGTACATGAGCACATTGGCATCGTGATCGAATCAAGACAAAAGCCTGATGGCGCCACATTTAGTTTCCTTGTCACTTGAATAAATCACCATTTTTGGAGTGTGTATAAATACACACACTTTTACATACACCGTGAAAATAGCCAATACCTAAAATTCTTGGTCCATTATCTGCATAGTCATTATATAAACAAAAAGTCTTTCTGACTGGGGATTCTATTTGGACTTGGATTAGTAAAAAAATGTCGGGTTGAAGGTGGTAAGCTCGGCAGCCTGGTACATGGTCTCTGCAGTATGACTGGGCATGCGTGTTTTTAGCTGTTTTCTCTCCCCCATGAGTTCTGGGAGTTCTGGACTCCAATAATTTCCCCCTTGTTTGTTACTGCAAAGACTCAAAAGATGTTGCCTTTTTAAAAATTGACCTTAAAATCGTGAGATGAAAACAAGGCACCTTTCTGATAGTGATAGTATTTTTGCTGATATAAGATAGAAGCCTGCGCTGTATCTGCCTATTTTAAAAACGTGTAATAGAGATGAGAAAAACCTTAAAGTTGGGTCGGCCCTGTGCTCCTCCCCCAGGTAACTTCCTGTCTCAGGAAAATCGGGGCGTCAGGGGCGTCCCACCAAGGGCCTCACTGGTGGGAGTGCTCGGGACTGGGGTCGAGGACGGTTTGTCTGCATCCGAACCACACAACATGTGTGTGCATTTGCCTGTGGCCTTCACAGCTGTGAACAGGCCTGTTCTCAGTCACCGCCGTGTGACGACACAGAAGTCAGTTATTTGTGAGCCTTGTGAAGTTTACATTTCTGACTTCATCATGTATGTGTGCCTGTGTGCGTGCACACACGTGTCAATTTATGTTACCAAAATAGAAGAGCTCTCCTCATGCCATTAAGAATGTGTTGGTGAATACACCTCATATTTAATTCTTTCCCCACTGATTCATCAATGATAAAAATCCACCAGAAAAATGGATACGTGGGAGTGATTTAGTCTTGTTCTAAATCACTGCCCCAAATGCACAAAACATTTGTCAAAGAAGTCAAAATGTAAACAGAAAACCTAAGCGTAATACTGAGTCTAAGGTGACTCAGTGACACATTTTCAGCTTGGTTTTACTCCCATAACAACAGATTAATTAGTGAATCTAGCCCCGGACGTGAGAGCGGACGGTTGATGGGGTCTTGGGGAAAATTGCAGAAATTGCATTGGCATGGCGATTGCAGCTACGATGCTCGCAAACATATAAACGGGGGAGAGCTTGGAGCCTCTCCGGGTCTTGGCTCCGTAGGAGCACAGATCATCTCAAACACCGAGGGGGTTTTGATGTTTCCGTTCGTGTGGGGTCCTGGTGGGGGGGCCGCTGCATCTCCCTGTTTATCCGGGTTCTTTAGGTGGCGTGCAGCTGTGTGCGGTGCCTGCCCCTCCCACGCTCCTTTCCTGTCCCGTGGGACTGTCTCGATCAGTCGGAGATGGGGTCCGTGACACCTGCAGCCCCCTTCCCCTCCCCCAGGACACCCTGTCCGTTCCCTGGCTCCTTCTGAAGGGATCTGCCCTGGACCAGCGCACACACCTGCTCCTGAGGCTTCCCACCCCGGACGCGGGCTCCTCCGGCCACAGCTGCCTCTGTAAGGCTTCACCTCGCCCGTAAGTGTGCAGCTTTGGTTCAGTCAGGGCTGCGGGTTTTTTTTTTTTTTTTTTTCCACGTTCTGTATTTTTAGACTGTGAAGGAGGTGGTGCTAAGGGAGCAAGTGAGGCCCAGGTGTGAGGAGCAGGCTGCATCCCTCAACCTGTGAGTGGGCAGTGAGCTCACACTGAACTTGACCAGACCGGACAGCTCCCCCTGGTGCTGGCCTACAGGGGCCGCCTCAGGGTGGGGCCGGAGGGAGGCTGACTCGGCCGATTTCCTGCAGGGAAATGGCTGTTTTCATTTAAAGGGCCTAACTTCTCTGTGCGGAGCTGTTGACCCACAGAGGAAAAAAAACCCCAGGTATCCAAAGAGACGGCGTCCATAGGAATATGAGAGTGTGGACGGTACCTGACAATCCAGAGTGAGGGGACGGGTTGGGAAGTCGGTCAGATGTTTGCCGCACACGCGTGGATTGTCTGGAAGCCTGTCGGTGAGACCTCAGTGTGCAGGGAAGCCACACTGAAACAGATAATCCCATTCAAAGCCTTAAGTACTAAAGTTTGTTGCTTAGAAACATTCATGGAACAGACAAGTTCCCTGGTTGGGACAGTCGTCCAGTGGTCTCGTCACCATTGGTCACCTGTCAGGATATTACTCGGGGTGTGTGTTGGAAAAATGAGGTGTTCAGCCACTTCCCCAAGTCCCTCTGGCCCTGGAGGGACTTGAAGATTTAAGCCGACAGCAGGCACTAGGGTGAGGCTGAGGGCAGAAAGGGTTAACGTTTCAAACTTCTGTCCAGGCGTGGGTTCGGGGGAGCAAAGGGGAAGCTGCTGGTGAGTTGGTTGTATTTATGGATTGTCCACATCTTGAAAAGGAGATAGAAGAGCTGGGAGGTGACTGGCAGGGGGTCCCCAGGACCCCTCTCTGAGTCTCCAGGCTGGGTGGTCAGTGCTTCTTAAGGCCCCCCTCTGACCTCTGCTCCCCTCGCCCCTTCCTGTTCTGGGGCAGCATTTTTTTTTTTTTTGCAAGTGCTGTGAATTTCTGAGCCGACAGAGGGCGCTGAGCTGCAAACCAGCCTGGCAGAGATGGCTCCTGCATTAAGTTAAGATCCACTAACTTCCATCCCTGTCCTTTTATAGTTAATAAACGGTGAAGACAGTTCAGATTATAACTGAGGCTATTCAAGTGCAAATTACATGTAAACAGCTGGGTATGGTGGCCGCTAGGATGAACCTTTGCAGGAGTTTTCACAATGGCAATTTCTGTCTAAACAGATTCTCTTTGACAGGAATTTACAAAAGCATCTTTAATGATTTTTTTCTCATTTTCACGTACACACTCTTAGTAAGGTACACATGACGTTCTCATGCTCTAGCTTTGAAAATTAATTTTACTTTTAAAAACTGCATTAACTAAGAGAAGAAAACACAAAATGTTCTAGTGTTTTACCCTGAGATATAGTAAAACATTGATTTTACCTTTCTGCTGAAGGTTTTCTTTAGCAATTCTCTAAATTATGTAAATTTGCTCATTTCATATATATTTTTGAACTCTGAAGAAAATGAAATCTCTAACTTACGAGGGAAGCAAGGGTTTTAAAATTTCACCAAAGGAGCCATGTATAAATGTGTCCTTTCAGCTGCGATAAAAAAGTAGAAAGAAACTATTTTTAACTTACAGATATTTCAGACCACACCAAAAAGATGTATTTGTCCTGCTTCAGTTAACTTCCCTGGTGGCAGAAATCAAGAAAATAGACCCCCCTACCTTCCTCTTATTAAAATTCTTTAGAATTCTTTTAAATTCTGCCTATGTTCACATTACATAGAGGATTGGTAATATGGTTAAATCATTACATTTTAACATTGTCCCCACTGCTCTCCTTTTATCGGTTACAGGTAGCTTCACACCTGCATGTTAATTTTCATATTTCATACGCTCGTGGTGTGTTGTAAGGATGCTTATTTCAAAATCTTCTAAGAAGCCAGAGAAGTCCCCTTTGGCTCAGTGTGTTAAGAAGGTACCAGCAACATCACAGTTAAAGAAGTGAGTGCTTACAGCGAGGTTGGGTTTTGCCTCTTCATGTGGAGTCAGATTTCTTTTGAAAAGGAGCAAATGCATTTCTGAAAAAGTGGATTGAGACCCACCCAGAGCCGCATGCAGATGCGGTATCGCTGTGGATTTGCACAGACCGTGCTGTCATGTGTTTTGGCCACAGGGACCTGAGGGCACCTTGCTGCCCTGTGTTACCATAAACATCATCTGAAGAGAGAAAACTCACTTTCCCCCACACGCCCTTTGCCAGCTATTTGGGTAGCGATACAGAAAGAGATGCCAGCTGTCCATCAAAAACTAAGTCAAGGTCTTGATGCCTCTTTATAGGGAAAAGGTGCCACCAAAGTCCCTCATCAGGCACCTGAGGTCGCTCACCACCTGAGCTATTTCCAGCCCACGTCTGTGGACTAGAGGTTATTTCAGGAGCGGACAGTAGGTCCCCACTAGGAAGTACTTGCTCTAGGTGATATTTAGGCAGATGATGGCATCAAATGGTGAAGACAGACAGGGGTGCAGGACTCTCTCAGGCTCACACCTGAGGAGCGTGTGCCCTCCATCAGTGGTATGCCTGGTCTTTTGTGTTAGGTGCAAATAAAGATGATTCCGTGACTGTGACCGCACCGTTTCTTAAACAGTATTTTGGATGCAATGTCTTTAGATCTGACTTCTTTTCTCAGGGCCGTGCACAAAATGGTTCATTCAAAGACAGCATTTTCACCCCACAAGTGGAGGGGTGCAGAAAGCTGGTCTCTAAAGGCTCTTCCACGGACACAAGACACGCAAGCTCCACACATCTACACGTTCACGGGAGTCCTCTCCATCCCTCCGCTGTCCATCTCCTCCATTAGCCGTTCAGGTCCCCAAATGACCTAAGATTAACACGTCTGTTTCTTGCTGGGTAAGTAGTGAGAAGATGTGTTAACTCCTTACCTGGGCGACACGTTAGGACCTCAAGTTCCCCACCAGCAGGTTAGGGAGTCAGGGCTGGTAAGTCTCCCAGGTCCTGGGATATACCTCCCCGGTTCACTGAAATGGAGACGATTCGTGGGTGTGTTCCAAGAGCTCAGAGCAGCCTCGTGTCCCTTACACAGTGGTCCACAGCAGTACCCTGTGGTCACACTGATACTGAATCCAGACTGGTCCTTTTCAGCACTGAGTTTTCCCCTTTCAGATTCCTTTGTATATAAACCTGAACTGTACATGTTCCCCCAGAGCGTGTTTTTCACGAGAATTCCTGCCCATGTCTCTTCAAAGTGTCTTATGGAAATAAGCGCCCAGCTTAAGGAGGACGTAGCTCGTTCTGACGGTGCGCTTTCCGGACAAGCCACGTAAGGGCAGGAAACAGCACAGTCACCTCTACAGGCCCTTTCCAACTCAGGTGTCTGGGCAAACTCAGTAACAGCCTGGGGCTGCCGGGCCACTCAGCAAAAAGGATACACCAAAGGGGACAGACCTTCACGTTCATTACTTTGGTCATGTGACTGTCTAGGGAGTTTCCCGGATGCTGATTTAGACATTGACGCCAGCAGTTACAAAACAGGTCCTAGAGATGTTACAAAGTGACTATTGCTGTTTTATAGGGAAGTTGGCCACGGAGAGCCTGCTAAGGGATCTTGCTCATGTTTTGACCCTGAATTCTAGCGATGCAAAGTTACTCAGATTTCTGGTTTATGAACAACCTAGATAAGTCATAAATTCTGCTAATTCAGGCTGTGCCTTGGGTTTTAGCTAATCTGTAATGGTGGTGTGTGCGTCCCAAACATCCACAGGGAGTGAGTGGGTGAACGGAACTTACTGTTCCACATGTCAGAAGCCAAGATGGTATTAAAAATCCAAAAATCAAGGGTACAGCCTGGTAACAGGCACCCAGGGAGGAATAATAAATACAAAATGAATTCCAAAGACATACTTTCTATATGAAGTTGTAACTCCGTGGAGATTTTTTTTTCTACTAAAGTCTGCACAAAAGATTTAATTTCTTGTAAGAAATTGTAATCAGAAACTATTCAGATCATGTCAATAAAGCAGACAATTAGAAACTAATTTCTTAAACTTATTTGTCCACCAAAATTATCTCTGGCTCTAGAATATTGTGTAAACAAAGAATAGATGCAAATTAAACTGCTGTTGTAGATAAGAAACCCAGTCATCAGAATAGCTGTCGCATGAAATGGGAGAAATGTCTCATTTTCTCCATCCTTATTAAAAAGTAGCATTTTGTTCAAATAGTCATATAATATAAGCCTATCTATGAGATGGGGGGACATGAAGGAGAAAACTAACAGATGTAACAGCAGATCATATGGAATCTAGAAAGTAGTCTCTTCGGAAGTAGTTGCTCATTTCAGGTTTGGGTGTTTGTACTTGTTGGAAGCTGTAATGCCTTGTAGACAGGGACGCATTCATAAATACCGGGTTATTATTCACGGTGACACTTGGCCTTGGTAGAAAGAACTTTAATTCTGTAAGTGCTGTCCAGGGTAAATTGAATTTATGCATCTGAGTTTTCATTACAATTTTTCTTTTCAATGGGGTGGGAAGAACTGACCTAACACATAGCAGTGCCTAGGTAAAATGCACAAAATAAAGCGCATCAACATTTTTTATGATCAAAATGAAAATTCCTTGTCTTTTGACATTTATTAAGTCACACCTCAGAGCTTTGGGGTTGGCTTATCTACTCCGTGAAATCATACTATTTTCAACCAGAAAGGGGCCTTCAGGTTCACTAGCAGACCAAGAAACTGAGGCCCGCAGGTCGTGTCTGGTTATCCAAATTCCTGGGGTCAATTATCTGCAATGATACGATAGAATTCTTTCAATTGCTTTTTACAAATGGCGGGATAAAGGGAGACACAGAGATGAAAGCCCAGTGGGGCCTTGGGTTAATCACATTAGTTCTGATAAAAGTCCAGCTCAAGATAAAACAGAGCCCACTTGTTTTAATGAGGAACATCAAACCCAGCAGAAGCACTTAGGCCCTCTGTACTCGGCTTCCTCACTGGTCAGCCCGACAGCACACGCCCTGCCTGCCTCCTGCCTCCGGGGAGGTTTACGAAGTGCTTTCTACCAGTAAAGCACAGTGTCATGCGTGCGCAGCATCTAGTCCGCAAACACTACAAGTCCGATGGCCTCTGTCCACTATGCTCCCTATTTTTGGAACTGAGGGGACCTAGGAACAGACTGGCTAAGTAGCAAATTCAGGGGTGCCCTGACGCCTTTGGGGTGGGGGGGTATTTGGACCCAAAGACCAGCCTCACCCTCTGCATCAGATGGCTCTTCCATTATGGCGCTGAAATGTGTGATAAAATGGGCGGGGAAACATACGTGCAGTGAAGCGTTTTATGAATGTAAGTGTTCATTTTAGAGGGGATGCTGCATTAGAGTGATGAAGATACAACCAGGCAAAAGCCCATGTGTTTTCCTTCTTTGTTTAAACTTCCTGTGCACTGAAAACTCGAGAAAGTCACCATAGTAAGACCTTGACCATGTGGACAATTATGTACCTTGTTTCCACACCAGTTGCATTTCTTCTTTGAAATCAGTCCTTGGTTAAGTTACTTATGGCTCATCACTTTCCTCTTTTTTAGCTCCTTTACATAATCAGCATACTACATTCTGCTATTCCATCTAAACTGAAGTCAGGTCTACAAAAGTATATCAGTAATGGTGGCCAGTTTCAAAAGTAACCTTGGGACATTTTCGTAAATGCAGTGCACGTGGCTGTAGGAGAATTTGACAAGTAGCAAAGAAGTCCAGGCTGTACTGGCCTCCACCCTAATGAATGCAGCCACCTATTAGTCTTGCAAGGGGGGAGGTTGCATCTCCGGAGGTTCTCAGACCGTTACAATGTAGCTCTTCCCTAGCCAGTTGGAGTGTTTGTTGGAGGCTGCCTCTGAGGGGGTAAATTGGACATGAACCCAGTCTGTTCGCAGGGTTTAAAAAGAAAATCTGCCCACAATCATAACCTTGGACCCGGGTCTTTGCAGAATTAAAACTGTGCTTAGCAATGCTGCAGTCTCACATCTCTCCATTTCCCCCAGTTTCTGTGCACGACGGAAATTTGTTTGGGTTGGAGCCCTGGCTGTGCTCACAAGACCCTCTCGTGATTCTTTAAACAACTGGACGTTTCTAGATGTGAAACTCTCAGCTCAAAAATCAACTTCTTTCTTGGAGAAGAAATGTTAAGTCATTGCCAGAAAGTTTTCTTGTTGGTTCTCAGTTTTCTACCAAAAAAAAAAAAAGTTCTCGCTTTTATGTCAGGTAGTGAAACTCGCTACAGAAATTCATCTGTGCCACAAACAACAGAAGAGTTTTCTGTTTATCACTTGCTACATGGGAAGGAATTCCTGCTGTATACGCAGGATGTTTTTATTCACTTGAAAATACTGTTGAAGGTATTCACTACTTAACATAACAACACACGTCTAGTGTGCAGTCTCGGCTGCTATGGTGCAGTCTTTTATTGAAAGTCAAGAGCAACATAGTAACAAGTGACCGGAAGCTACTGTGGCAGCTTCCTGTCTGCAGGATCTTCTAAAATCTAAGAAAGTTTAGAGTAGGTGGGAAGTTGTCTTCTAAAGTCATGTTGGCTGTCCTGAAGAAGGCTTATTAAAGTTTTATCCCTAAAAAAATAAGTTCTCTGATCTTTCAGATGATACTACACAGTTATTGGTAAGGCTACTAAAGGAACTTTTATTAGGAAGTTTTTGTAGTTGAGTATTTGTTCATTGTTTATACCCAGTTTTCTGTCCAGCCTTCAAGGACATGTGATTTTTTAATTATTCAGCAAAACATTCATGGGTTATCATAGTTCTTTTTTTATCGCATGTAAAGAGTAAAGTTAAAGTAACATGATGTCTCTAGGAGGAGAAAGAGATGTTGAGCAAAGTGCGTAGCTTCTGGTCAAGGTGAAACGCTGTCCCTTCACTGGGTTCTTGTTTATTCTCAACACGAGGGCTGCGTGGGAAGGAGGGCATTGAAACTTGAGGGAAACTCTCCCTCCTCGAGGTGTTCATAACTAAGTTGATTCAAAATGGAATAACAGATTGCTCAAAGTAAGTAACTTTTTTAAAAAATCAAAATAGAGGCTGAAATTAAAAAATAAAAACCAACTTTCTATCAGGGAGAAAAAAATTTTATGCTAAACATCTTAAATCTGAGGGTAGCAACTTACAAAGCATTCACAGTCCCAAAGTGAGCAGAAATTTCAAGGAATTACATTTTCAAAATTGTCCTTATTCAGTCATTTTCAAGGATGATTGATCCTCACAGTGAAGACCAGACAAGTACAGGGGTGGGCGGAAGTGGTTAGAGTTGTGAGTACATGAAACAGTTTATTCGTGTTGTTATTCATGCATTAATGATTGTATTACTTATTAGTATTTAAAACCTACTTTTGCCCAGCCCTGTGAATATACTGAACTCTCAGAATTCTAAAACTAAACACTGTATTATGTTCAGTATTTTGGGGTAATTTTTTTTCTTTGGTCCCTAAAGTATTTTAAAATGGGGACTGGAGGATTAACCAAATGTATCAGTTCATTTTCAGAAAAAGGCATAGCGTACCTGCATTCACGTTGCTCGTTCCCGGGAACTCAAAATACTTCCACCGCCCCCCCCCCCCCTTACGGCCCCCCGGTGTGGATGGCGGGTGGAGACTTGCGGTCCAGGCCCTGCTTGCTGCTGCAACCACGCTCTCTGGGGTCGTGCGGCAGGTGTTTCGAGAGAGGAACAAGTACCTTCTGCTGAGGGAGGTGCCCAGATACCTTCTGGAGAGGCCCTGGCATCTTCCAGTGCGTGGGTGTCGCCCTGCATGGGCCCCAGGGCCCGTCTCGGAGAGAGCAGGCGGGTTCACCTGGAGCGCCTGAGGGTGTGCGCTGAACGCGTGCTCTGTCG